AGAGAGAGAGAGAGAGGCACAGAGAGAGAGAGAGGCACAGAGGGAGAGAGAGAGAGGCACAGAGGGAGAGAGAGAGAGAGGCACAGAGAGAGAGAGAGAGAGAGGCACAGAGAGAGAGTGGCACACACAGAGAGAAGAGAGAGAGGCACACAGAGAGAGTGAGAGGCACAGAGAGAGAGAGGTGCAAAGAGAGAGCGAGGCACACAGAGAGAGAGAGAGAGAGAGAGAGAGAGAGAGAAGGAGGGAGAGAGAGAGAGATAGAAAGAGAGAGAGTATCGTGTTTCCCTATGTAGGACACAGCAAAGAAGCAAAGAGGAATTGAGAGGTACAAAGGAGGGAGGGAAGGCGATTCTGAGAAAGGAGTGCTCGCTTTGCGGTCTTGCCACTACTTCGCTTTGCGGTCAAACCAAAACCGAATTGAGAGGTAAAGGATTATTTGGCGGTTTTCATTATACATTCCAATAAAAAATAGGTATGATTGATTGATTGACTAGCTACGGCTGTCTCCAGGACTTTTTACATCTCTCCAGGACTCCATTTATCTTTTCTTATTGGATTTGCAGGACTTCAAACATTTTTATAGAACTCCGCCTTCCGCCTTCCCCCTTCTCCATCTGTTTTTCTTTATAGGGCTATATAAAGTCCTTTACAGGGACCCGATGTCTGTTTTGGTTACTGTGTGTTTCTGTGTTTGTCTTTGTTGTTGACTTTTGAGTAGTGCATTTTTTCCAACATGATGAAGAAAGTTACATCATCAAAGCCTGCGGCTGCAGCTCCAAGCAGGTCTCGAAGTAGTGTTGGTGGTCTCAGAAAGGGCGCATCCAACCCAGAGGACAGGTGGGACAAAGAAGAAGAAATGGATGTGGAGGACGAGGAACTTGTTGAAGAGGAGAAAGAACAAGAAGAAGAAAAAGGAGAAGAAGAAGAAGAAGAGGGCGAAGAGGAAGAGGGCGAAGAGGATGAGGGACAAGAGGACGATGAGGACGAAATGGATGAAGAGAATGTGGTAGTAGCTCCGAAGAGAGGACCAACAAAGCGGAAAAAAGGTTGGTGCGAAGACTTCCTTTTTAGCAAGAGATTGCACGAAGAAATCCTTCCCTTCTTCTGGGCCGTGTGCATCACAGGTGGTTGTGCGCAGTTGTTCGTGCAGTTCAAGAAGCCCACGTACAACCTCGTAGGTGAAATCATAATCGCGTCCTCGCTGTTGGAGGATGAGCGGATGCTTGCAGAGATGTGGGTTGTCGTGGGGGAGAAGATACTCAGATATATCTTGAGCTCATCGAAAATGGTACCTGGAAAGTTCCCTATTGAGAACAAGAGGTTGGCTCAAGAAAATAGAAAGGGTTTTAAGGTGAGTTTCGAACTAGACCCGCCAGATTGCTCTCCTCCTCTGTTTTCTTCATTTCTCTCATTTGCCTATCACCAGTCTGTTGTTCAGCGAAACAGTCAATTGATGTTATAAGAGCAACGGTATTGCTGCTGCTTCTGCCGTGGCTGCTGCTGCTGTTGTCGATCGTGATTGCTGCTGTCCTTGCTGCTGCTGCAGTTGTTTTCTTTGGGTTCTTTTGCTAACGTTGTCACTTGACGTTTACTGCCGCTATACCCAATATAGCCGTATATGCCGCAACATCAACATCAGGACTGCAAGTTGATGCAGCTGCTGCTTTTACACTTGCTGTTGTTTCTTTGGGTTCTTTTACTATCATTGTGATCACAACAGAGGTTCCCCTAGCTAACGCTGTCACTTTACGTTTACTGTCGCTGCACCCAGTTATAGTCCTATATGCCGCAACCTCAACATCAGGACTGCAAGTTGATGTAGCAGTATGTAGGACTCTAAGTGAATGCTGCGGCATTTGGTACTGACTACCGTAGCAACGAAGCGTCAATTGACAGCGCTGGCTGCTGCAACCATTCCGCCAACCACAACATGCATGATTGTTGGTCTGCATGCTGATGGTGGACCGTGTGTCCGCCCAACCCCACCCTCCTTCATCCTCTCTTCCCTCCTCTCCTCCCTCCGTCCTCCTGCTCCTCCTGCTTCTACTGCTGCTGTTGCTGCTACAGCAGCAGTAGTACCAGCCGCAGTACCAACAACAATAGTAGCAGTAGAAACATTAATAGTAGCAGTACCTCTACAACGTTTGCGACTACTGTTGTTGCTGCTCCTCCTGCTTCTACCGCTGCTGGTACTGCTACTGCTAGCAAAGGGAGTACCGCTGCTGGTACTGCAAATACAGATGCTGCCGCTGCTGCTACCGCTGCTGCTGCTGCCGCTACCAGTAGTAGCAGTACTAGTAGCAGTGCGGTAGCAGTTCCACTTGCAGTAGCAGCTGCTGTGGTAGCAGCAGCGGCGGTAGCAGTAAAAGCAGCAGTACAAGCAGTAGAAGCAACTGTACCAGCAGTGGTATCAATACAGCAATAGTACCACTACAGCAGTAGCACCAGTCGAAGCAGCAGTGACACCACTAAAGCAGTAGTAGTGGTAGCAGTGCCCGTACAGTAGTAATAGTAGCGGTAGCAGGAGTAGCACGAGTAGCAGCACAATAGTAGTAG